ATTTGAAATCCTTTCAATTCAATATATATCGGAAACAAATGGAAAAATCGAAAATTATCAAGAGTGCAAAGTTATCCACTGGGACATTTCCTACAAATTATTTTCCATAATTCTTTCTGTAAACCCAATAGTACAGGAAATAAAGTGAAAAATATAAAAAAAAAATTTTAACGACCCATAGGGTACTATGAAGATATATTGAAAAACATAGATTATCGATAGATGAAGCTCATCGACTTCCACTGAACCATGAAACATTCTTTCATCTTGTTGATTGGAAGATGGAACAAAAGTGTTGAAAATTTTATTCTCAGATAATTCCAAATATCTCGAAAACAACTGAAAATTATTGAAAATGTTATAGAACCAGAATTATTCCTTTTGATAGAATCTACAAAAAATTCCTATAACATTCTTCTCTGAATTCAATAGTTCGGGAGATAAGATGAAAAAACTAAAAAATTTACAAGTTCCTAGATAATCACTTGCCAATAGAAAACGAAACAAAAAACAAAAGGAAGTAAAAAAAGCACACTCGACTGTCTTGATTTGTTTTCTCATCAACTACGTACCTAGCTCACTCTACTGTCTTTATTTTTGCCAATAAACTAGGTACGGGCTAAGTACGTATAGCTTGTACGAAAAATCTCCAGTTCTCTGAACTTTCATAGCGTCGTATACACATCATTGGTGCCCAATGATAGTTTCAATATAAAAATATGCTCATGATATGGTGCCATGGCCTCAACTTCCATCTTACATGAGCAATGATAAAATATCATCTTAAAACGTCGTATAAATTATCTGAACTTTATACTAATCTGATACCTTTCAAAAACTACGTACCTCACTTGTTATACGACGCTATACATAGTGGAGTATACTACGGCCGTGCCAAAAATGCTATCTCGGAAACTAAGCGAGATAGAGGTATAGTTGCTTTGGAGAAAATGATCCCCATCGAATTTTGAGCAACTTTGGTTTTTGTGTGTGGTCTGTCTGTCTGTCTGTACTCTGTGTTAATCATAAATCGATATATCTCCGGAACCCTTTGACATATCGACTTGAAATTTTGCCATCTTATTGTACTCAAAACAATATTATGTCATTAAAATATGAAGGAAATCGGAAAACTCTAAGGTGGTTTTTCCGGGTTTTTTCGATTTTTCACCGGAAGTTCCTTGTAACCACTCTACAAATCGCAAAAGTGGTCCGATCGATTTCATTTTTTGTGAAAAAAACCTCTATCAGAGAGAGACGAAGCCTATTGAAATTGAGCAGGATCGGGAAATTCCAAGTGGGTTTTTCAAGGAGATTTTCCGAAAAACACGGTTCACTTTAAAACGACATATCTCCTGAACCAATAGACTAAATCCAAATTTGAAAAATGCACCTCATGCCTCTTTGATGACGCAACAAATTATTATTTAACCATTTTTTCGTGCATCCATCGGAAAATGGAAAAACAAATGAAAATCAAAACATTAAAATTTGAAATCCTTTCAATTCAATATATATCGAAAACAAATGGAAAAATCGAAAATTATCAGAAGTGCAAAGTTATCCACTGGGACATTTCCTACAAATTATTTCCCATATTTTTTCTCGTAAACCCAATAGTACAGGAAATTAAGTGAAAAATATGAAAAAAAAAAATTTAACGACCCATAGGGTACTATGAAGATATATTGAAAAAATTAGATTATCGATAGATGAAGCTCATCGACTTCCACTGAACCATGAAATATTTTTTCATTCTGTTGATTGGAAGATGGAACAAAAGTGTTGAAAATTGTATTCTCAGATAATTCCAAATATCTCGAAAACAACTGGAAATATCTGAAAATGTTATAGAACCAAAATTATTCTTTCTGATAAAATCTACAAAAAATCCTTATAACATTTTTCTCTGAATTCAATAGTTCGGGAGATACGATGGAAAAACTAAAAAATTTACAAGTTCCTAGATTATCACTTGCCAATAGAAAACGAAACAAAAAATCGAAAGAAAGTAAAAAAAGCACACCCGACTGTCTTGATTTTTTTTTCCATAAACTACGTACCTAGCTCACTCTACTGTCTTTATTTTTGCCAATAAACTGGGTACGGGCTAAGTACGTAGTTTGTACGAAAAATCTCCAGTTCTCTGAACTCTCATAGCGTCGTATACACATCATTGGTGCCCAATGATAGTTTCAATATAAAAATATGCTCATGATATGGTGCCATGGCCTCTACTTCCATCTTACATGAGCAATGATGAAATATCATCTGCTTTTATAAAGTCGTATGAATTATCTGACCTTTATACTAATCTGATACCTTTCAAAAACTACGTACCCCACTTGTTATACGACGCTATACATAGTGGTTATACGACGCTATACATAGTGGAGTATACTACAGCCTTGCCAAAAATGCTATCTCGGAAACTAAGCGAGATAGAGGTATAGTTACTTTGGAGAAAATGATCCCCATCGAATTTTGAGCAACTTTGGTTTTTGTGTGTGGTCTGTCTGTCTGTCTGTCTGTACTCTGTGTTAATCATAAATCGATATATCTCCGGAACCCTTTGACATATCGTCTTGAAATTTGGCCATCTTATCGTACTCAAAACAATATTATGTCATTGAAATATGAAGGAAATCGGAAAACTCTAAGGTGGTTTTTCCGGGTTTTTTCGATTTTTCACCGGAAGTTCCTTGTAACCACTCTACAAATCGCAAAAATGGTCCGATCGATTTAATTTTTCGTGAAAAAGACCTCTATCAGGGAGAGACGAAGCCTATTGAAATTGAGCAGGGTCGAGAAATTCCAAGTGGGTTTTTCAAGGAGATTTTCAGAAAAACACGGTTCACTTTGAAACGATATATCTCCTGAACAAATAGACTAAATCCAAATTTGAAAAATGCACCGTATGCCTCTTTGATGACGCAACAAATTATTATTCAACCATTTTTTCATGCATCCATCGGAAAATGGAAAAACAAATGTAAATCCAAACATCAAAATTTGAAATCCTTTCAATTCAATATATATCGAAAACAAATGGAGAAATCGAAAATTATCAAGAGTGCAAAGTTATCCACTGGGACATTTTCTACAAATTATTTTCCATAATTTTTTCTATAAACCCAATAGTACAGGAAATAAAGTGAAAAATATGAAAAAAAAAAAATTTAACGACCCATAGGGTACTATGAAGATATATTGAAAAACAAAGATTATCGATAGATGAAGCTCATCGACTTTCACTGAACCATGAAATATTCTTTCATTTTGTTGATTGGAAGATGGAACAAAAGTGTTGAAAATTTTATTCTCAGATAATTCCAAATATCTCGAAAACAACTGGAAATATCTGAAAATGTTATGGAACCAAAATTATTCCTTTTGATAAAATCTACAAAAAATCCGTATAACATTTTTCTCTGAATTCAATAGTTCGGGAGATACGATGAAAAAACTAAAAAATTTACAAGTTCCTAGATAATCACTTGCCAATAGAAAATAAAACAAGAAACAAAAGAAAGTGAAAAAAGCACACTCGAGTGTCTTGATTTTTTTCTCATAAACTACGTACCTAGCTCACTCGACTTTGTGGAAAACCCAAGACAGTCGAGTGGGCTAAGTAAATAGTCTGTGGGAAAAATCTCCAGTTCTCCGAACTTTCATAGCGTCGTATACACATCCTTGGTGCCCAATGATAGTTTCAATATAAAAATATACTCATGATATGGTGCCATGGCCTCTACTTCCATCTTACATGAGCAATGATAAAATATAATCTGCTTTTATAGCGTCGTATAAATTATCTGACCTCTAAATAAACTAATACCTTATGAAAACTACATCTATACTAATCTGATACCTTTCAAAAACTACGTACCCACTTGTTTGATTACATCTATTGCATGAGACAAAACGTTTTCATTTTCTTTCAATTGCTAATTGTACTAACGCACGACAAGACAGAAACCTAGCCGGTCCTGTACCATACATAAGCGAAAATGTTTTAATTCTTCGTTAGTATCACTATTCTTTGTAAATCTCGTTGTTTTTCAGTTTTTTTATCGGTTCATTTTTTCGATTTCTCCAATGAATACAACATCATGTTTTCCAAACTTCAAAATGATCGAAGCTTTGATTGAATTGTTGCGGAAGTACCTTCAAAACATCGTTCAACGAAAGTCCAGAACTCATCCGATTTCGTGCATTTATTTCGTCTTGGTCTAAATTGTAAATTCTGGATTTCGTGTAAACCGTTTTTCTATAGAAGAAAATCTATTAAGAGCACATTCCTTGGAATTGCCAAGCTGATCAAAATTATCTTTCACAGGTAAAGACACCTCGAAACGATTATCAGTGTCACGTTTGAAATGGTCCACACATTCAGTTCCTTCTATAGTAATTATAATGCTTTTTATTCTTCTCTACTTCCTCTAATTTTCAGAATTTTTGCAACTGATCATGAAGTTCAAAGTCATCATCATTTTTATCGAAAGGTTGAAAGAGATTGGCGTGTAATAATATCCAATAGTCGCGACAAGGGGTGTGTGAATATCTAACCTGCCATATTCCTCCGAAGTACCCCTGACGGACTATAGAATTATATTTTTATGTGTTTTTTTTTATGTTCTGGTTCCCACGAAAAGGAATATCCTGTAATGTTCAGTGAACATCGTAAGAACTAAGGGAAATAAGGTAGGAACTGGTGTTCTTCTTAAATTTCTGGAGGTTATGGTAGAGGTGGGGAATGACAGCCGCCTAAGCTATTTTGTGAATATTATCTTTATTTGTTTTACAAAGATGCTGAAAAATTGTCAAATGTAAGTTAATAACCTAAGGTATGAAATGTATATTATCAAATTAAAAAATTAACAAAACTAAGAAAAATACAAGGCAGTTTTTGAACTTATTCAGTGGCCGTCATTACCTTCCACGATGAGGTAATGGTGGCCTAGGCCGTCATTGCCCAGTGTTTGAATGTACATTATATTTCAAAGGCAAAAGTCACAAATATAATCGTCACGTACATTGCCGGCGCAAGCTTCATGTGCCCACTGGCCACACACTACGCATCTTATCCACAACTCCCTGTCTTTTCCAATATCACCGCATATGATACAAATATCTTCATTAACTTCTTTTTCGCGTGAGTCATCATCATATTCATCCTCATCTTCGGGAATATTGTCCACTGTTAACGCCAATGCCTCTATGCAGGTTCTTTTAGGGTTTTTTCTTATTGTAGTAGTTGTTTGCGTTTCATTGGGTTCATCTTCATCTGATGCAAGCTTCCGTTTAGTACCATTAGTTTTTGCATCTTTTTTCATCTTATTCTGTAGTTTCCTTTCTGTTTTCTCATCTAACGTTGTTTTCTGTGGGGTGGATGTAAATATCTCTGAATGCTGTTTCCTGTTGATGCATTGTTGCTTCTTTGCTGTTTGTATTCCTGATGGTCCAGGTAATGGTATCAAATCAGTAAATGAAACTCCAGCTGGTTCAGTTTCGTTCTCCTTATTATGGTCATGAACTTCTGGAGTCACTTCATTTCCATCTTGAACAGTGTCATTCCGATGACAGATAGTTCCATTGATATCAGCAGCTTGTACAGGAGCAAGAGCTACAGCAGGAGCAAAATCTTCTTCTGTGAAACGGTCGCGATTCAGTGGGAATATTCCTGTTTCCTGAAAAACTTTTATTGCCTTTTCAGGTGTAGCCACTCGGCTATAGGCTATGTTAAATATCTCGGCTATTTCATTGGTAGTGATCCTTTCACCTACATGACTTCTTAAATAGTTGCTGCACTCCGTATTATAAGCAGTCTTCAGTGCAAAATAAAAAGAAACGTCTAGAGGTTGTAGGCGGTGGGACGTATGTGGTGGGATAGTTACAATAATGATTCCATTTTCTCTACAGAAAGTGTAGGCTTCCAGCGTACAATGCATGGAATGGTTGTCAACGAGTAGTAGCACTGGATCTTCTTTGGTCGCCTTAAAATTTTTTTGAAAATATTTAAGCCAATGGATAAACACAGATTCGGTGATCCACCCATTATCAGTGCAGCAATAGAGTGCTGCTGGTGGACCATTTTTCTTAAGTTGAGCGTTCATTCTTTTCCGTGCGTAAATAAATAATGGTACATAAATGCCAGAAGCGCTCATCGCACACATAATAGTGGTTGTTTTTCCCCTTTCAACACTAGTTATGAAGCCTACTCTTCTTTGTCATTTTTCTGCATAAACTTTAACTGGTCTCTGGACCGTTGTGATTCCGGTTTCATCGGCATTAAAAATTCTTGTTGGTTGAAAGTTATATTTGTCCAGCACAATGGTTAGATTGTCCCTGTTAAAAGCCATTACACGGTTAATGCTAGTAGCCTCAGGTTTTCTTAGACTAATATTGGGATTCCTTTTATGAAATCCTCTGAGCCACGCTTTACCAGCAGACTGATTGTCTTTTGAAAACGGATTTTTAATTTGATTTTCTCTCGCATAAGCAAATGCACATCGCTTAATTTGGTCTGGAGATATGCCGTAAAATAGTTTCGAAAGCTTGATAACTTGACTTGCGAGTAGTTTCTCGTCTTCTCTCGTGAATACTGCATGACGTCCCATATTAGGCCCTGAAGCGAATTCTGCTCTGACCCAGTTGACCAAAACATGCCGCAGCTTTATCCCTGCTGCATTTCAAATGTTCCATGTTTTATCACAGAGATGTTCCCATCAGAGATATAGCATAGATGAATGTCCGCCTCAAATGAAATCACAGACTTATATCAGTGATGCAAAATCAGACTTGAATAAGATATGCTCCTGTGAGATCACAGTGATGACTAGACGAGAGACGTTTCTGATAAATCTGTGCTCTGCATTAGCTCCATCTCAAATCATCCATAAATTTATACTGGTTCCACCAGTATCTGAATCAGTTTCGAATGCAACACCATAATGTTTAGGATATATTCTTGGATTTTCAGATGTTGAAATCAAAAAATCCATTAATATACCCCTAAACACATGGAGTGGCATTCAAAAACAGTGAAACCATAAGAGTAAAAAATGTAAACTTTATTCCAATCCATTGACAAATTACTAAACAAACCTCAAAATATATGTAAAATAAAAATATGAAATATGATATTGTTACGATTTTACTCTGGGTCCGTAATAATTTAACACTCGGTAGAACACTTAAAACGATTTATTCTGAACACTACTATACAATAATAACAATACTCGTACTAAACACTTCCGATTCACAACACTTCTTCGATCGTTATTATAACGCTTCCAAATAAAGACTTAACTTCCTGTCCCTAACAACATCTATTTATATTACCTAATAAAACGTCTAGATTCCACTCGAAATATCGTGAACAGGTCGATAATCTTCTCGAGTCATCTCAATAGCCGTCGAATCACCTAATTACTATTCCAAGAAATATGGCTTGTTTACTTTCCGCAGGTAGCTGGGCTCGATTGCCAGGGTCGTAACATTTACCCCCTTCTTCAAATTTGATCGTCCCGATCAAAAACAGAACTCTCCTCACCATGATAGCGCTTCAGTCTTTCAAGATGAACGACTTTCATCTTTGTCCTAGGGCTGCGTTGGATTCTGTAGACCACATCGTTGACCCTTTTCAACACCGTAAGTATACGGTCCTTCCCCAAGATGGTGTTAATTTGGGTGATACGCCTTTCTTCCGTCGAGGATTATACTGCCAAACTCGATCTCCTTCGAAGAATCCCTCTGGATTGGCTTTGAGATCGTACCGTGCCTTCATTTTGTCACTTGCTAATTTCAATCTCTTCCGAGCAGTCTCATGAATTTTCATCAAGCCATTCCGGAGCTCATCTGCGTAGTCTTGTACTTCCTTTTCTTCAACACTTGGTGAACCGAACACCAAGTCACAAGGTAGGCGGAGTTCTCTTCCAAAGACTATACTAGCTGGAGTTAGCTTCGTTGAATCATGGACAGCTGCTCTATACGCCATCAGGAATAAGGGAAGATGCCTGTCCCAGTCCCTCTGATGCTCTTCGACTACTTTGGAAAGATGTTCTTCCATAGTTCGGTTGAATCTTTCGACCATGCCATCGGATTGTGGATGTAGTGGAGTTGTTCTGGTCTTACTGATTCCCATTAGATCACCGACCTTTTTGAATAAGTTCGACTCGAAATTTCTCCCTTGATCAGAATGTAACTCCATTGGTACTCCGAACCGTGAAAACATGTTGTCTACCAATATCCTGGCAACTGTGGAGGCTTCTTGATTTGGCATGCCGTATGCTTCTACCCACTTACTGAAGTAGTCCATAGCAACCAAGATGTATTTATTTCCATCATCGGTCAAAGGGAATGGTCCGGCTACATCGATGGCGATCCTTTATTCAAACGGAGCACCCACATTGTATTGTTCCATTCCAGCTCTTGATCTCGTTCTGGGACTTTTGCTGGCTTCGCATACAGGACATCTTCTACACCAACTTTCCACGTCGTCACGACATTGAACCCAGTAAAATCTTTCTCGAATTTTACTCAATGTCTTGTTAACTCCAAAATGTCCACCAGATTTTCCGCCATGGACTTCTTCCAGAACTTCATTAACTCTGATGTGGGGCACAACCAGCTGAGAAATTGTTGATCTACCATCAGCTGATTCCCAAACTCGCTTCAATAATCCATTCTCCACAACTAGTGAGTCCCATTGTGCCCACATCGCCTTGAAAACAGGTCCTCTATCCGAGATATCCTTCCATGTCGGTCTTTCTGTTCCTCTTTCTTTCCAACGTAGAAAATCAGCGATATTCGGATCGTTCTCCTGATCTCGTCTCATGTGTGCTGCTGTCCACTTATCATCGGTCACAAGTCTGGTTTTTCTAACATCAGCGGCTCCTTCTCGATGTTCAATGCGCAGACAATGCTCACAGGTTTCCGAACAAGGTCTTCTGGACATGGCATCTGCATTTTGGCGTAGTTTTCCTGGGCGATGCTTAATCTTGAAGTGATACTGGTTCAGCTTTTCCAGCCATCTTGCTATTTGACCTTCAGGATTCTTCATCTCCATCAGCCACCTCAAAGCTGCATGATCCGTCCTAATGAGAAATTCTCTTCCGTATAAATAGTTGTGGAAATGGTCAACAGCCTTAACAATTGCCAGCAGTTCTTTCCTGGTGACACAATAATTCCTTTCTGGTTTGGCCATCACTTTGCTGTAGTATTCTATAACCTTTTTTTGACCATCCTGTACTTGTGATAGCACGGCTCCAATTCCGATGTTACTCGCGTCTTTCTGGTTTGGCCATCACTTTGCTGTAGTATTCTATAACCTTTTCTTGACCATCCTATACTTGTGATAGCACGGCTCCAATTCCGATGTTACTCGCGTCTGTGTCCAAAATAAACAAGCCTCTCTCTTGTGGGAACCCCAAAATAGGACTTGAACAGAGGCCCGCCTTCAATTTCTCGAAGGATTTCTCACATTCAACAGACCAGTTGAAATTGACTCGATCTTCTGTCAATCTATGGAGTGGCGCCGCAATATCAGCAAATCCTTCCACAAAACGACGGTAGTAAGTGCACAATCCCAAGAAACTTTTTACTTCATGTTTGTCCTTCGGTCTTGACCAGTCTCGAATGGCTTGAATCTTCGTCTCGTCAGTTTGTATTCCTTCTGACGTTACCGGGTGGCCCAAGAAATCTACTCGTTTCTGGAATAGTGAACATTTCTTCAGGTTCAGTTCGAGGTTGGCATTCCTGAACCGCTGAAACACTTCCCGTAGGTTCTTCAGGTGTTCCTCGAAATTCTTTCCGATGACCAAAACATCGTCCAGATATACCAGACAAGTTTTCCAAGTGAGCCCACGCAGTACCAATTCCATCAGTCTCTCAAAAGTTGCTGGAGCATTACATAGTCCAAAAGGCATCACAGTAAACTGGTACAGTCCATTACCAGTCGTAAAAGCAGTCTTCTCCTTATCTTCTTCGTGAATGCCCACTTGCCAATATCTGCTCTTCAAGTCCAGTGTCGAAAACCATCGGGAGCCAGCCAATGTAGTCAAAGTGTCATCAATCCTTGGTAACGGGTAGCTATCCTTCTTGGTGACGTCATTGAGCTTCCTATAATCCACACAGAATCTTGTGGATCCATCCTTCTTGGACACTAATACAACCGGTGCAGACCAAGGGCTGGATGATTCTTCAATTACCCCATCCTTCATCATTTTGTCAACCAGCTGTTCCACCTCCTGTTGCTTAGCAAACGGCATTCTTCTTGGTGGTTGCCGAATTGGGTGAGCTTTACCAGTATCTATTCTGTGCTTGACCAAGTTCGTCCGCCCTGTTGATGTTGATTCAAAGATACATCTCTGAACCACTTGCTTATCTCATCAATCAAACCATCACAATAGGAGAATGGCCCAAAAGTCTCAAAGAAGCCATAATAAAGCCACTATTTAAAAGCGGAGATAAGACTAAAATGGTGAACTACAGACCCGTATCAATAATTTCGAACTTAGCAAAGATTTTTGAAAAAGTTATCAAACAGAGGTTGGAGAA